CCTGTGCAGCGCCCCCTCGGGGAAACTCGAGGTTTGGTTTTAGTTGTACGGATTGCTCATCTGAGTGTGCCCTGAGAAAGAGATATGTGCAGCTCCTATCGGGATTTGTCGGCACATTCGGGCGGTGTTGCTGGTTTACTTTTACCCTGTCGAAATGTCTTGTTGTACCGGGATACCGAGTCTGATCGGAATGTCTCGGGTGGAGGTCTATTCCTTCGTTGACCATGAGAGCTTGTGATGGGCTAAGTTGGGACACCCCTGCAGGGTATTATCTTTCGAAAGCCGTGCCCGCGGTTATGTGGCAGATGGGAATTTGTTAACGTCCGGTTGTAGAAAACCCGAAGTTGACCTTAATTAAAATACATCAACCGCGTGTGTAACCGTGATGGTCTCTTCTCGGCGGAGTCCAGGAAGTGAACACGGTGTTGGAGTTATGCTTGACGTAGGTTGCTATAGGATCACTTCTTGATCATACCTTTATCGACCGTGCTTTGCCTTCTCTTCTCGCTCTCATTTGCGTATGTTAGCCACCATATATGCTAGTCGCTTGCTGCAGCTCCACCTCATTACTCCATCCTTCCTATAAGCTTAAATAGTCTTGATCTCGCGGGTGCGAGATTGCTGAGTCCCTGTGGCTCACAGATACTTCCAAAACCAGTTTGCAGGTGCCTATGTTACCGTGCAGATGACGCAACCAAGCTCAAGGAGGAGCTCGATGAAGATCTTGCCCTTTGTGTTGTTTCGTTTTAGTTGATCAGTAGTGGAGCCCAGTTGGGGTCGATCGGGGACCTTTGTCGCATTTGGGGTCCTTCTTTTATTTTGGTTCCGTAATCGGACCTTGATTGTATCTGGATGATGTAATGCTTTATTCATGTAATTGTGTGAAGTGGCGATTGTAAGCCAACTATGTATCTCTTTCCCTTATGTATTACATGGGTTGTGTGAAGATTACCTCACTTGCGACATTGCTTTCAATGCGGTTATGCCTCTAAGTCGTGCTTCGACACGTGGGAGATATAGCCGCATCGAGGGCGTTACAACGCGGGCGTGGTGTCCAAGGGGGCCACGATGGCTCGCTGTCGCACAAGAGGGCCCGCCATGACGACGAGGTCGGGAGCTCCGCCATCGGCCCTCCGGTGGAGGAATGGCACCGCATGTAGACGCAGGAGTGCAGCGCCATCTCTCGCAGCGGCGGCCGGAGGCCATGGAGGCAGAGCACGAGATGTCCGTGGAGGCCATGGAGGGAGTTCGACCGCCTCCACGAGATCCTTTGGCCGACCACCAAGTGCCTCCGCGAGGCAGAATGCAAGTTCGGAGATGGAGGCGTTCGCCGCCGGAGAAGAAGGGGCCGGCGCGCGGCTAGAGGGGGCTAAGGAGAAGTACGACTTCGCCTTCACCCTCTCCAGCTCCGCGATGGAGTATCATCTCCATGTCAAGAAGGATGAGTAGTTTAGATTAGTTTTAAATCTAGTGTCGTGGATATAATTAATGGTGACAATACTAATGGAGTAGAAATGTAGAAGCAACCGTATCTAGCGAAAATGGTGCGGTTGGTAGTACGCTCAAGGAATTATATAGGTTTGGACCCTCTGCAGTGGAGGCAATACCCTACTCCTGTGGTGTGCTTTGCTCTTGGCGTAGGGTACAAAGTGTGGATGTTCGACCTTCCGCCCGAGGCTTTCCTCCTGGCTTATATAGAATGCGCCAGGTAGGGTTACATAATGGGCAATTTCATGGCATTTACTACTAGTGTGGCCGATTGTTTCATGCAATTTACTACTGGTAACTGGCGTATTTAACTGGATTATATCACCTTGGGTAACTGTCGTAATTAAGGCGTGGCCATGAGGTATCCTAAGTAGCCGCCGACTAATGGCCTAGCCGAGTACGACCTTCGTCCCCGACCGAGTGCTGGTACACGACAGTCGAGTAGTCGGGCATCCGACAATTGGGACTTAGTGCAGTCTCGTGCCACCCTCCTTGTCTCTGATGGGTTGATGGTGAAGCCCCTTGGCCCATTTCCTTCTGAACCGTATCTTATACGAGTCATGGGCTTCTGGTGGGCCATTCGTGTATTTGGGCCTACCATGTATTTATAACCCCGACATCTAGTATGTTTAAAGTTGTTGCGATGAACTATGTTTCAATTACGGCGAAGTATTGGTAGCGGGAACTGTGTTTATCTAGTATGTTTAAATTATGTAGCACACCTTACAGGATCTACACCGCCGTGCCCTCCGCGGTACTGCAAAATCGAGTTACAGTATCCCGTAAATGAATTTTGCGGTATGCGGTTTACCGGATCTGCAAGAATGCTCTTATGTTGTAAACTCAATAGTTTCTGCATTATATACTTGGTATTTGGTTCTTCTGGATAACCTTGACGTAGTAGATTGGAAAGCAAGCAGTGAACTTTTCTTCTTTCTTGAGAGGATTTCTAATTTATAGTGGAACGGGAGAATAGTGCCCTTCTGGTCCCAAGCTCAAGTGCTCCTCTATGAACTTAAAATACAAATATAGGAAAACATAAAAAATGAATTTTTGATAACAAACATTGCTTGGTTTTCCTCATTCGTGCAAATTTTCGTGATGAAATCACATTCGTTGAGGTATAGAAAAAAATAGTAACCAAACAAACACACTAAAATGCATTCAAAATTAGTCATTTTGCTGCATCGTTTTTCTTTTTTTCCTTGAGCAATAGAAATGTTTTTTCTTCATTAAAATTGGCACGTCTGTAGACATTCAACAATGTTTGTTGCCAAAAAAACAGAATTTATATAACTTTTACTATTTATTCTTCTGGGTTTACTGTTAACGAAGGTGCATTTGAGCTCGGGAGAATAAATTACTGTTAAGGGATTCGGACGAGCACATCCCTTAAAGCTTGACCCCGCCTTCCTTAATCGCCACCTCGCCTCGACCGAGCCGCAGTTCAGCTTCACGCAGAAGCAAAAGCAATTCACTTGAGCGTACGTGCCTCTTCTTGTTAGTCCACCCGACTCAACCGGGCACCATGCCGGGCAAGAGAGGCGCCAGGACCTTCCTCGACCACCTTCCAGAGGACATCATCGACAGAATACTCATCCGGTTGCCGCCCCGGGACGTCGGCCGCTGCCGCGTCGTCTGTGCGCTGTGGCGCAGTGTCACCTCCACGCCTGAATTCATGCTCGAACACCGCCGCCGCCAGCCATCGCTCCCCATCGTCGACGGGGCCGGACGATCTGCCAGTCTCGTTGTCGTCCGTGACGCCGGCGCGAGGACCACCAGTCAGCAGCTCTGGCCTTTCCTCGCAGGTTTCGAACACCGTAACGATGAGGTTTGTCTCCGATGCACCTGCGATGGCTTCACCATCATCGCCCGTAGAGGTCAGTTCTACATCTGCAACCCAGTCACCCGCAAGCAAGCTCTCCTACCGCAACCTCCATCTGGGCTAGGCGTCCGCACCACCGTAATTGCTTTATACATGCACCATCCAACCGGAGAGTACAGGGTGCTTTGGGTCTCAGGATCACAAAACTGGACCGAATCCAGCTTATACGTCCTTACGGTTGGATCGGACAAGCCGAGGCACGTCGAAGTCACAATGCCAACAGTCTTGTCGGCTTCCATGGAATGGGTGTTAGTGGAGGCGCTGATCCGTACTCCACCAATCCAACACCGGGGCAGTCTGCACTGGTGTCCTGCTGATGCCAAACAGATTACAGGAGATGGTGAAGACATTATTGTGTTTGACACACAAGCCGAATCATTCCGGTGGATGCGTAGTCCGAACCTACTAATTCAACCTGATGTGTATCATATGGGCAATTTGCTCAACATGCAAGAAGCACTAGCTTTCTCGGTCGTCACGTTGAGCACATTGGATGTGTGGGTGATGCAGGATTACGAGGCCAATATTTGGGCCTTCAAGTACCGGATTGACCTACCGAGAGTGGAGAAATCACGACAATTGAATTTAACCTCTCTGAAACGGAAAAGGATGACACCACTTGATACAACAGTGAGATGGTTCAATCAAATTGCTATGTTCAACGATCGTGAGCTCTTGATCCAGTTTAATAGGAACCGTGTGTTACGCTGCGATACTGACGGCAACGTCTCAGGAATGGTGAAGATTGCAAAGAACAATATTGCATGGTTCTTACTGGGCATCGCCTCCAAGAGAGCATGATTCCAATTCCATGTCATGAGATACAACAAGAAGATGACGAGCCTCCATTCTCCGCAACAAGGAATATATGAATTGAATGTTCAGGCCGATTTGATTTGCCTTTGCAGTATTACTTATTGGATGGCCATATATAGTAGCACATATGCTGTCATGTTTTCTTATAGCACTGATTGTCCCCAAACTGCTGAGTTGCACTTTCTTTATAGCTCCTGATGTCTCATCAGCTTTGTGCAAACATGTTTCTTGTCCCTTAATTAGCATAGATTTGTTTCTATGATTGAAAAAAATCCTTGGCACTTTGGCGCCGTGTGTTGGGACTTGGCAGTACTGCTGGAGCCTAGGACGGCCTTTGTCTCGTGCCGTTGTTTGTGTCCAGTGGTTTGCGTTTGGAGGCAGAAAGAAACTTGTTAAAGATGTCCAGTCCTGGAGCAAGATAAATATGATGGTTCTTGGTTCATTTTTCTCTATGTTCACGTTTCTTTTTGGTTCATCTTTTTCTAGATAAAAGATTTGTATCTTAAAGACTGGCCATATTTCTTTTCAATGCAACTAACTTTTGGAAAGGAACGCCTAGCACACGTAATTTACAGGTAGAAATAAATTTTTTCTCGCTTTCAATATAATAAGTCGTTTGTTATAACCAACTAAAAAACGCTTGCAAAAAAAACCCAACTAAAAAACAATATAAGTTGAACGTATCGCATAGCTCTGTGTACCTTCGTGTGATTGTAGCCTTTTTGGTTTTTGCTAAAACATTCTACTTCAGCGAAACAAAAAATATTGCATTCACTTAAGGGTGTGGCTATGTATCAATCGACTGAGATTTAACCAAGTTTCAGTCAAGTGACATAACATGTAAGAAAAAAAAACTACAAAGAAATTTTTACACGGATCCTAAAGTAAAATTTGATGGACAGACTTAATAAAGTCTCGATCGGGTGAGACTTAGCAAGACTGTTCACTTAACGCGGCAGAGGGCTCGCGTTCCTCCATAGTTTAGTTCATACCGTTGGCGTCGCAGTGGCAGGCCAGCCTTCCCAGCGTTCAGAAAGTTCTTGCAGCATCATCACATCACCCCAGGACTGACGCAATTGTTAGACGCGATGAATTCGTCTCTCGTCTTGCTCGCATCGCCATTAGTTCCATCTTCCACGGTTGGTCTGCATGTGACATTGAAATGCCGGTCACAGCACGGCGAAGCTGCATGCGCAGTTCGTTTGTTTCGTCCGATGCGGCAAAGCAATCGAGCCGGCGAGCGCGAGCACGTCACGTACGCCGCCGTTGGCTGCTACCGCTGCAACTTGCTGGCCAAGTGTGTGCATGCTCGTGGGTTGGTGGAAGGGACAGCCGGCCCTAGCTAGAAGCGTGGAGCACCCGGCGATCGCCGGAACAGGGACAGGGAGGATGTATAGCCTCCCCTCGCCCTCCTCGACCGAGCCGCTCGCTGCCGTGTGGAAGCACCGTGGGATTGGCGCCGGTCGTCGGAACGGAACAGTGTTTTGTCTCCGGCTGGGTGATCGATGGGAACCCCGCTAGCTCCTGTACGTGCCTACAGAAGTAGTACGCCTGTAACAGGGTGCCTTTTTAGAGATGGCGACGTTGGACTCGTCGCCGCCCAGCTCATGTACTGAGGATAGGCACGTACGGGAATTCTTATCTCATCCCAGCTATTCTTTTCAAGGTAAAGATGGCGACGTTGGGCTCATCTCCGTCTGAGTTTTATTATTGCATAACAACAGGGTTACAGTCTACTAATACAAGGTTATGAATGTAAGTAGGATCGCACTCAAACCAACAAGCGGTGTTGCGAGCAATTCGAGTATAAATAGCGAGACAGCATGAAACACCATTTTGGGATTTATAGCTATCTTCTTAACAGAAACAAACTCAAGCTCTACCATGAGCAGCGACTTATCATGAAACACCATTTCTTTGATGAATTAACCATACAGCGACTTATCAAGGGGGCATGCGTTAGAGAGGGTACTGGACGAGAATTGGGAGACTACTAGATTAGACATTTGGAGGGCCAGCGACACGCCCTCCAAAATAGCATGGATCTCCGCTTCTAGGTTTGACATTGCAAAAGAACAGAAGATGACACGAAGCAAACATGACTTCTCCTACATTGTCTCTATAATGACTCCGGCCCTGGCCGAACCGTCCTCTGGAGAGGAAGAGCCGCCCACTAAGAGGTCTAGCCCGTCCGGTGTGGGCGCCATCCATGGCGATTTGAGACTTGGATGTTCGAACTGCAGAAATCATCCACATGCATTGTCCTAGTATGTAAAAAAGAATGTAAGGTTTCATCTTTTACTTTTCGTTCCACCACCCATCCAACCTTCCCCGTAAGATAATCACCTTAATTTACATACCTTTTGAACCAATTTTATATTTATTCACTTGCCAAATTTCTCGTCAAAATATAAGGTAAATCAAGGACGACAGAATCTGACAAACATTTATTTACACAACCACATAAACATGGGTAGGTAAATCACAAACTAATATACTGAAATATTTATATCACATTGCACCGCACAAGCATTGTCCCAGATTTATATAAAAAAAATGTATCGTATATTTTCTAGATTTTTTGAAAAAATCTTTTATTTATAAAGTATAAACCGGAAACGGGTGCACCACAACCACAAGCCGCCCTGGTCCACCGGATGGATACCCAGGGGATGTATTTGTCCGGGTTGCAACGTGTACCCGGTCAATGGCTGAGTGCTGAAATTGTAAAAGACAATGTTTACATCACGTGAAAGCTTCCTGTTTTTTCCAGACGAAACGGATATGGACGCCGCGGTGTTTCGTCTGTACCGAAACGTGCGAGCAATGGCAACGTGGGAAACACCGGCGAGCCAGCCAACCGTCGCCCAAACGTGCCGCCCCTTCCGGCGAGCCGGAACGTACCGCAACCGCCTCCTCCTCCACCCTATATAAGCCCGCGCGGCAGCCTCGTCCATTCCAAGTTTCCAGCCATTCCAGAGCGAACATCACATCCGGATACAGAGCTCCCGTAGTTGTCCAGATCCACCTCGCCATTCCATTTCTTGCACACGGCACACCCATGGCTGTCGCCGGAGGAGTGGCGTTGAGCCTGCGCGTCCCGTCGTCCTTGGCGTGGGGCGGCGCCGGCGGGCAGCGGTGAGGTCCGGGGCGACGCGGGCGAGGCCGGCCGTCCCGGGCGGGGGGCTGGAGGAGGACCACTACCGGACGCTGAGGCTCGCGCCGGGCGCCACCAGGGGCGATGTCAAGAGAGCCTTCCGCCGCCTCGCGCTGCAGTACCATCCGGACGTCGTGCGGGACGGCCACCAGGACGACGACGGCGTGGACTTCGAGCGGATCAACGCGGCGTACCAGAGGGTGACGCGCAACATGCGGGAGGCGGAGGCGAGGCTCGAGTACTGGCGCCGCCGCTACGGCCTCGCCGACGAGGACCTCGACCGCTACCGGCTCTACCTCAACGACGACGACGAGGACGACTGGTTCTCAGACCTATGAAACGGACGAGGTGCCTTTTATGGCAGAGGCAGCGGCACGTAGTTTAATTTGTGCAATGTCACCCTCTGCTTGCCTCCCCTGTTTTATTGTGTTTTTGGATCTCATTCCAACATTGAGAGCCCTTGGCTTTACAGCTGAAAAAAAATGTTCAAAAAATATTTCACTTTACAGATATGGGCCCATAGGTTGTCGTTGCCTTGGGCAATTTTCCAGATCCACTTGGTAACTAGCGCTAAGTTCATTTTCTTAGACTTGGTGATGCCCAAACCTATCGGGTTTTCAGTTTACATACATCAGCCCAGCTAACCATCTGGTAATTGCGTTTTGCCATGTCCGCCTCCCGGAAGAAATGAGCTCTTATTTTGTCGAATTGCGAACGGACATCGTACCCCAAAATGAATAGGCCCATCACCAATGTAGGAATCGCCGATAAGAAGGCGTTGCTAAGAGTCAACCTAGCAACAAAGGACATCAATTTTCCTTACCAAAGGTCAACTCTTTTGACAAATTCACTGAATGTTGGATATCTAACACCAATACCTGTTTGTCGAGCAAGGAGGGCCAAGATAGGACATGAGAGACAAAACCCTCTTACAGTTAAGGAGATTAGCTATCCGACTACTATCCTCGACACTGGTAGAAAAAGAGGCTTCCGTCCAGCCCCATTAGTCGCGAAACTGTAGGAACCGCGACTAATGAAGTCTTTAGTCGCGGTTCGGCAGACGAACCGCGACCAAAGGCCTGGGCCCAGGGCGCTCGGTGGCCAGCTGGTGCACGTGAGGGGCTTTAGTCGCGGTTGGCCAGGCCAACCGCGACTAAAGGTGCGCAAAGGCCTTTAGTCGCGGTTGGCCAGGCCAACCGCGACTAAAGCTCCTCCCCTATATATACCAGTTCAGCACGCTCACTTAGCCATTTGGTGCCACTTCTCTTCACAAGCTTCACAAGGGGGTGTAGGTTTGCTTTTGGTTCCTCTTATGCACACAAGGTGTTTGATGAAATGCCCTAAGAGGGTGAAACAAACATGATATGAAGTGTTGGAGCCACACTTGAGGTTCCTCATTTATTTTTTCCTCCTCGATCGCGGTTAGCAACTTGAACCTTTCATGCATGTGTGTCATTGATAAAATATGCATGTGTGCAGTTTATTGTTTAATTTATATTATTTGTAGCTAGTTAGTTTAACAAATGCATGATGGTTAATTATATATTTTATATTATAATAATGCAGATGAATCGGCAATGGATGTACGGTAACCGACTCTCCGGCGAGTTCACTACGGGTTTGAAAGATTTCCTCGTAGTGGCTAATGCGAACAAGCAGGGGGGTTTTGTTATCTGTCCATGTGTTATCTGTAAGAATCAGAAGGGTTACTCTTCCTCAAGAGATGTTCACATGCATCTGCTTCGGCACGGTTTCATGCCAAGCTATAATTGTTGGACCAAGCATGGAGAAAGAGGGGTGATAATGGAAGAAGATGAAGAAGGGGATG